TATATATATATAACACTACTGGAGTAGCGATGAAGAAGAATGCTAGCTCCCATTAACTTGTTGACTTGCAGCAGTAAGAGCTTCTACTAAAGATGGCGCTTCGTCTGCTCTTTATTTAATCTCTTCAGGAGTTGAGCCCAGTCTCTTTAATGCGTCAAATAAATGTAAAAATGTGTGAATTCTCAACATTTGTTCTCTGTCGTGCCTGCTGCTAGCATTTTCTTGACCTACATGAAAATTAGTCCCTTAGTCTTTCATTTCCAACTTTGACCTGCCACTCTGGCAGTTTGGAAAAATCCGGAGAAAAGCAGCACCTTCTTATAAGCTGCAGGGTTCAAAGCGTGAGGAAAAAAGTAGCAGTTTATAGTCCGGAAAATAAGGTAACTCAAATCTCTCAGGTTGACACTGGCCGTTTCTCAATTCACTAGAACGCATGTGTCCTTGCCAAGTATGTTCTTGAGAAGAACACAGGCAAGTATGGACTTGGTGAGAACGGGAGAACGCAGCATAAATCTGGGTCAATTGGAACAGAAGCGTACTGATGACGTCACCACATACTTTTTACATTTAGTAGGGGAATAAAAATGAATACAGTCAGATAAACACAAATCAAATGAACATTTTGCCAAATAAAACAAAAAAAAAATCTCCTTCAGACCCAGCACACAGCTATGCCGAGAGAGCGATGCTGCAGACGGACTACGATTAGCCCTAGCTGCTGTTAGCCTAGGAGGTGCGCTGTCCTTTCAACTTCTGAATTCTTTTTTTTAATTACGCATTAAATCGGTAAATGAACCATATAGGGATGCTTTAAAGTATAATGTTTTCGCCTCAAATGATCTTAAAACATACTTTTATTGAACAGCAGCAACAGAAAAGAGAACTTCAATGGAGCGCTCCAGTGAAAGCTGCTGCTATCGCAGTGCATGCTGGGACAGCTGTCAATCTCAAGAACAGACAAATCTGCTCTGATGCAGGCTGGGTAAATAGGGAGGGGCGAGAACAACATCCGGGGACTTTGTCCGTTCTTGGTCTGCTGTTCTTGTGAATTGGAACAGTACTAGGGCTGAGACTGATGACGTTTCACGAGTACACAAGCACATGAGAACGCACAAATACATATATTGACAAACGGCCAATATTTTAAGGTTGTATGAGGTGTTATTCTATTAAGATTCCAACAATCAAAAAGTCTCAAATTAAAAAAATACAAAATAAATAAATAAGATAAAATCTGTCTTTAATATTGATACCATGCCAATATTGTTTCCAGATAGTGTTTGAATATTGATACTTTTTAGAGGATCAATATCCTTAACAACCCTAATGCCAAATGACCTAATTGCTAGTATAACATTTTCTGCTTGACATCAAAAAGCTCAACACCCAGTTGTCCACTGATGAGCTGCTCATTTACAATAACAAGCAGTCAGGATTTTGAATGCTGCTCTCATATCTTAGGCTGAAATCCTAATCAGCTAAATTGATTTTGACCGAGATGAGACTCAACCTCTAAGTTCTAATTAGTGGGTTATAAATACAGAAACTGACAAGGTCAAAAAATGCTTAATTTTTTCAATGGATTATTGATAATCAATACAATGTTTTCATTTTAATGCAATCAGAAAACAAAAATACCAAATATTTTAGATCATAGCTTGTAAAAAATGAGATATATACATTTTGAATGGCTTGAAAAACTAGAGGGCGGTGACCGAAATCTCTAAATCCGCTGTGAAGCGCATAGCGCACAGAAAGAATCTAGGAGCGGAAGTGTGTGTTTAGCTCTAAAGCTGGCTGCCGGAGCTGGGGCTCATTAGGCCCAGTGGGTGACGGCAGCAGGTTGGCAGCTCTGCTGATTTCGTTAACCTTTACCTCAGGGCAGGCTGTGAGAATAGAGAGGCACACAAAGGCAATTTACACCCAGGGTTGCTAAACAATCCAATAAGAGAACCTGGAGCAAAACACACACTGATATATATTCATTTTATGATCTGGAAGAGAAATTGGTAACTTGGATACTTTTTACAGATCTGTAATTTCTTTCCCAACCTTTAAAGCTTTGACAATATTTTTTTCTATAATATATTGTTAGCGTAATCCCTTTGATGGATTCATATGTCATCAAATTGAAGTAAAATGTCTAAATTCAACGGTTTAAGTCCTTCAACATTTTGCATAATCTAGATACAATTAAAGCCGATGCAAATATAAAAAATAAATAGAATACATCATCTACGTTTTTATATTTCAGAGTGAAATACAAAAAAAAGGGAAGAGAATCGAAATATCTATTTATTTTGAGCACCAGAAGAAAAATCAGCGGAGAAGCTAAATTTTCCACAAAGCAGAATTTCTTTGTCTTATAAAATATTTTTTGCTAAATCATGACTTGTCAGAAGTCAGATCTGATTCCCTTCAAGGAATAAATAATGAAAAAAATATTTTGTCTTTAGTAGTCATTAAATGTTTATAACGTTATTCTGTGCGTGATAGAGAAATCCATTAAATAAGGATTTTACTATTTTTCAACAGTAGAAAAATAATGGAGTTAAGATTTTATAATGTTATCAGCTTTTTTATTCAGGGTTATAAAACTTCTACACTATGCCCAATGCGGTACAGACTTAAATGGTTAGTTTTACTGAAAAACAGAAAATCATATAGGATCAATAATTAATTGTGGTTACTATGCCAACGTCATCATTAAACTATTGTGCAGCATATTATAGGAATAGAAAGTGGAAGTCATGTGACAGAGTTCAGGTGTTGCCAGATTCTAGTAGCTCCATGATAGAGCTGAGAAATCACCGTTCTGTTTCTCTGGTTGAAGTGGACCAAAAAAAGAAGCAAACTAGGGAGGACATCGGTCGAGCTTTTAAGTGTTGGTGCTGACTTAAAAAAAGCAAAGAGGTGACTGCTTTCCCTCTGAACAGTGAAATCAAACATTTAGTTAATGCTAACCTAAGGTCAGCCGGTACGTTAATTTAGCACAGACCCATTGCTGCAGGTTTGTCGGGTTCCAAGTGATCCAAACATGTTTCACAAGAAAAATCTTAAAGTAATGGTATTATATAGAAACAGTAGGAGGCTAATGTTTTTTTTAAATCAGTATACAAAGAAAAACTCCTCACTTAGCTTTTCTCTTCAATGCCCATTGTGCCGTTTGCCTGGCTAGGAAGTACAATTTAAGGTTGGAACAAGAAATCCTTCAAAAACGTTAAAGGATTGAGTTTATTTAATGGAAACAGCATCCTCACACAGATTGTGGAAAATTATATCAACTCTCAGATTATCGAAAGGTTACAAATATTATCAAAGTCATATTTGAAAGAACAACTACGGCAGACGCATCTTTTAGTACTCTTTTAGCCTTACTGTTATCTGCTGGCGCTTTCAGTTCAGATAAACCAGAGATTTGTCTCAACACAGCTTCTTGAATCAAAAAACTGATGTATGAGGTATTGATCAATGGCTTCATTTCTTATAACATAATCCACAGTTATGCTTTATGCAACTTAAAACATATCTATCAACAAATATCCTTATCCATTAGGAATATAAATAAAAATAAAGCTTTATTGTAATGTTTAAACATTTTTCAAAGTTAAATTGCACCTGCTTTAACTTTATAAGTGAAGTAACTCAATTTTAGTTGGTTCTGTTTGCTCCCCAAAGTTAAAAACATCCAACTCCATGTGTAATAATGAGAAGCATCTCCAAGGTTTCATGTCAGACTGCAGAGAATCCTAAAACACCTGTGAGCATAACTTGGCCAATAGCTAACACTGTCCTGATTAAAATGGCTAAACTGTCATTATTTGTAATATCCAACTAAATAATGAAAAATGCTTTTCAATTTCTTGATTTATCTTTTACTGTAAATATTTTATAAACTCTCTATGAGGATTTCCAGAGAGAAACTCTTCCTGAACGACACGTACCTTTGGAGGGGACTGCTGCTGCTGCTGTTGGTGGTGTTGTGAAGCCTGCTTGCTTGAAGCAGGCAGAACATGCTGGGGATGCGGATGATGATGGGGATGAAGGCCCTGTGAAGAAGGCTGGTGGCCTTGAAGGGGCCTGAGGGCCCGCGGAATGAATTCTGGTGCCAACGGGTTCAGGACATAAGTCTTCTTGAGCTCCAGAGCCTCCAGCTGAGCCTTGATCTGCTCGAAGGTGATTCCATGCAGGCTAGCGTTTTCATGGCAGATGGAAATGAAGTGCTCCCAAAATTTCCTGGAAGGCACAAAAAGAAATATATAAAAATATGTTTAACCAAACTGTCCTCATTGAAACCTGTTTTAAAGCTGATTTTCTGAATTTCCTGCAGTTGAACTGTAAAGTTCCAATCTGTTACAGACTTTGACCTTTTATCTCTGGAAATTTGGGTAAACAATCCACCCATCCTAATCGCATCAATTTTACTGGCCTGATGCTGACAGGCTGACATTTGCCAGCAGCCGGAGAGGGTAATCCTTGACATGTGGTTTTGACTGGCTTTGACAAACCACAGCCATTATAGAGATGGCTGTGGAGGTGGGCCACATCAATTCAACCCACGATTATTCAGTTGGATCAATGACAACCCACATCCAACCAAAGGAGCAAAGCATTAACATGGTGGCGTGTATTTTAACAAGTTAGAGCAGTCCCAAATGTAATTATTAATTGATCTGCAGCTCTAATTGTAATTCGTTCTTCTTAAAGTTTATGATTTTTAATAAATTTTATGAATGACCCACATCTGAAATCTGTCCAACCCTGGCTGGCTGTCTACTGTCAGATATTACAGCTCAACTCAAACAGCCATATTTTAAGAATTTAATTCTATTTTTAGTGCATTGTAAAAAAAAAAAATGTAATACATTACAAAAACCTTTTTTGGCAAATAACCAGATTTCGATCACCTAACCAAAGACAGAGAAACTGCAGAGCTTTGTTGGGGTGTGTTCAGTGACCTGCTGATATATAAGCTCATGGCTGTTAGTGAAGTAGACAAAGTTTCCTATTTTTAAACATTTAAAGTAATAAACCAAGATTCCAAAGAAGGATTTTCGGGATATTTTTTCTGCAGATGATCGATGGGTAGCAGACGAGTCCAAACATGCTTCCATTAGCCTACAAATTAACCTGGTTTCAGAGCATGAGAACTGCATTAGCAGCAAGGTGGTAATTAATATAAGACTATAGGGCTCTATGTCTACGTTAGACATAAATAGCAAAGTTTTGCTTATTTCAGGTGGCAGGTTAACATTGCAGCACTTCTCTTAACCAATTTAATACATCATGGAACACAATAAGGTGGATCTGCAGGAACTCTCTTGGGAACAGCACAGTTCCTATTCCTATTATAAGCACATGTTTTGTCAACAACTGTACAGAAATAAGCTTCTAATTATGTCAAACATTTTTTATGGAAAATATTGGTTGGGTGAACTTATCCAATCTAACAGCTGTAATGCTTGAAAACAGAAGGCTGTGGCCAGAAGTGTAAAATGTGTATTTGTAAGGATCACCTGCAGCGTCCAACAGAGCACAGTGCTATGGGGTCTCCAACCACTGCAACCAGAGACTGAGCTCTGGTGATGGCCGTGTTCAGCAGCTTGTAGTTTGACAGAAATCCATAGTCAAGGTCCTCTGTTGAATCTTCCACCAGCTGCTCTTTACGTTTAATGGCGGTCTGCTTGTGCTTGCAGGTGTGCCGGGTCCGCACTGTGCTGAGGAACAGCACCCGGAACTGTTTACCTGAAAAATTACATTTCTTTTACTATTTGTTCAACGTTTGGTAACCGAAAAAGTAAAACCATTGAGGTTTAGCAGCCAAAACACTGAAAGGAAATATTCAATCCTGTGTCATTATGTCAGATAAAAGCGGGAATGATGTCTAATAGGTAAACATATCAGAGACAAAAAATATGCATAAGACTACAACAACTTTATAACACTATAAAATCACAAAACAACTGTAACTGTACAATCATGATCCACTAAATCAACACATTTGCAGAGAAAGTTACATAATAATTGAATATTTGTCCAACTTCAGAGGCTGTTGATAAAACCAGAGAAAGATTGTGAACAACAAATTTAAAATCTAAGCACTAAGAGGACTTTGGTTTTCCTTTCTGCTTGCATGCTGTGCATCTTTTCATGTGAGACTAATGAGGGGGTAATGACATGCACAGAGCAGCTGGATGCAACACAACCCAGAGCAGCAAAAGACTGAAGCAGAATAGAAGAAGCAAAAACTTTCCAACAAGATTCAACCAAACAGCTGATAATCTAAAAACACCACATAGAATCGAGTTTCACAACTTATTTCTAATTTTACGCTATTCTGTAGCAGGAAAGACAAAAGCATATAAAGCTTTGAAAAATGTTAGGTGTGTTGGCTTATTTTTCTTGATTTTTTTTTTTTTTTTTTTTAGATAAAGTTTCACCTTATATTACTTTTGTGTTGAACAGTTTCAGAATAATTCAGCTATTTTGTTATTTAACCCTGTAGTTAATTTTTCATATTTTAAAAAAATTATAATACATTGGGTAATAGTGCTGTCACACCTTGACGAAATAGCCAGCATATGCCAATGGACGAAACATTTGGCATAAACTCTGGCATATGTTTGATAAGATATGAGACAGTTTTGTATAATTTATGAGCACGCTGGCACACGTCGACATAAGTAAGCTAGTGTATGCCATACGTTGGCCATAAATTACAGGTAAGTTATGTGATTGTTCAAACATGTTTAGTGTAAGTTACTCATAAGTTGTAGCGTCTAGCTTATCCAAAACCTATGAGTAACTTATGCATAACTTATCAGGAACTTATCACCTCGCGTACTGGTGAATGCAGGTATATTTGACGTGTTCCAGATGATCACTGAATGTGTTTCTAAAGTCCGTATCACACCCTGACGATTTAGACCAGTGTATGCCTGACGTACGAAGAATCTGGCAAAAATGCTGGCATACGTTGGATACGTTATGGGTACGTTTTGTATAAGTTATGAGCACGCTGAAGTAGGCTGAAGCACACGTTGACATATGCCAAGTACGGCAGCGTATGCCATTCACGGGCCATAAGTTATAGGTAAGTTATCTGATCGTTGACACACGTTAGGTGTAAGTTACTCATAAGTCCTGATGTTAAGCTTACCCAAAACCATTGAGTAATTTGGGCATAACTTATCAGAAATTATCACCACGTGTTGTGATGTGTGCAGGTATATTTGACGTGTTCCAGACAACCACTGAATGCATTTCTAAAGCCCGTGTCACACCCTGACGATTTAGACCAGCGTATGCCGGATGTACGAAAAATCTGGCAAAAATGCTGGCATACGTTGGATACGTTATGGGTACGTTTTGTATAAGTTATGAGCATGCTGAGGTACACTGAAGCATGCATCGACATACAGCAAGTATGCCAGCGTGTGTCAGACGTGGGCTGTAAGTTACAGGTAAGTCATCTGATCGTTGAAACATGTTAAGTGTTAGTTACTTATAAGTCGTGGCGTGGGATGGATCCTCCCTGTGTTCACCGCCATGGCCAACAAACTTCCTAGCAGACATGATGCTGAATCGGCTGTGACTGCAGACCTTTCTTTCTTTTTATTTATTTTTTATTCATTCTTTTTTTTTTTAGAATGTGGTGAACAGCAGCTGGGTTAATACCGCGATCAAAGACTTTTTATGCAGATCCGGTGCTTCCAGGCGCATCGCTTTAACTGATGCTGCGTAATGCGCATGAAATGATGCTTGTTCAGCATATGCCGATGTACGAATGATGCTTGTGCATAATTTCATGACGCTGCTGTGCGTTATGCATAAGTTAGGCTGTTGTTGGACATAAGTTCTGGACTCGTTATGAATGCTCTATGTATAAACCAAAAATTGAAAAAAAAAACAAAACAAAAAAAAAACAACAGAATGCTCAGCGTATTCCACTGTTTTAGGAAATTCTGTGATGTCAGCCATACGCTGGCTAAATCGGCCAGGTGTGACAGCGCCATAACTCTAGACTCTACCATTAATTAGGAAATGTAAAGAACCGTGGTGGGGGCATAAAGGGAGGATTTGGTTTTTTAAATGGCTGGAGGGTCTGACTAGTTTTTGGAGAGTCTAGTATCAGATGAAATGATCTATCGCTTACATCTAAGTTGTAAGATCTATAAAAACAACTTAGGTTCACAAGGACTGTGAAATCAGGTTTAATATATTTTTGTTAAATGTTGTTTTTAAACAAGCATGCTTTAAATAGTTACAATAAAGCTAGCGGGGAAAAAAAATTATACATCTGAAAGTCTCTTATGGTGTATAGATAGTCTTCATAGAGATGTAGTTTTCTGCATTGTTGATTTTTTTCTTTTACCCACCTTGAACATTAAGCACTCTCTCAACGCTGACCTCGTGCATCCTTTTTTTCCGTAGTTCAGCGCGAATACGGAAAACTTGATCGGCGTACGGTGACACCACCCCGATGCTGCCCTCGTCCAGCTTACCCCAAGCGACAGGCCACTTTTTCCGCAGCTCTTCCACTCGCTCAACAATCTCAAACACCTACAGGGGAACAGGGTCAGAAATGACAAGATTTTAGATTCAAATCTGAAGGTAAGTTTAAATATTTCAGATCACAATTTATTTGAACCAAAAAGGGACAGAAATAAAAAAAAAAAAAGGGGGGGGGAATGCATGTAAATTAGGATGTCTCTTTCTCAGACAGTGAAATAGAAATGGTGTTAAAAAAAAAACTAACAACAAAACCCAAAGATGCTTTTATTAAACGTTGGTAAAAAACAAACTTACTTGAGGATCACTTAAAGAGTAAACAGGAAGGAATAAATATGCAAATGATGAAGCTGTCTGGATCATCAAAAGTCCAGCACAGAAACATAACAGATATAAACAAGCCCTGTATCAGCAGACACTGCCCTGAAGATGATTCTGGTCCTTAACAGTTAAACACTCACAGACATCCTCTGCTGTAATAACAAATCCACAGCCTTTAAAATGTCTGCTAGCATTGCTGCCAAGTTATAAATTATTAAAGAAAATATTGACTTGCACAGTTCAGGACTGTTTAATTCTAATGCAATGCTAAGGGGTAGAGGCTCAACTTTTTTATAGCTGTGAGAAAATCTCACGACAACAAGTTTAGCTGCGAGCAGGCAACTTCAGAGCAGCAGACTGAGATGTCATGGAGTTGCTGTAAATTCAAGGCCACATTCATCCCTCTAGATTAAATCCTACATCAGAGAACCAAAATATATCTGATCAGGTAAGTGTCTAACAACAACTCTTAGCATACTTAGCTCTTGTGCTTAAAGAGAGCTGAGACTCAATTAAAGCAGCACTCTGTGTCACACAGCTGATCCAGCAACAGATCTGACCATTTAAGTTATATAATGAGCATTCATGCGCACCAAGTGCCGTATATAACACTGAAAATCCATGTAATTTAGCTTGCATTAAGCAAATATTTGAATCTGTGTTGCTTAATGCTTTAACTGAAGTTTTGGCTGTATGGGTAGAGTAGCAATGACAGTTGCACCCTCCTGATCAGTTGGCTAAAAGAAGGCATCTACACACATCCAATGCACATAATAAAATAATAAAGGCAGAAAAAAACTGAAAACTGAAGGAGCAACACTCATGGGTCTAATCTCTATTATGTAACATTTTTATAACGGTAAAAATGTTATTTATGCAGTAGAATGATCAATTTTTTTAACTGTAAAATAAAATTGATTTAATCAGTTTTTCATTTCATTTTTTGCAATTAAAATGAAAGCTTTTGTTACTGCTTTGTTAGGACAGAAAATGGCATTTACTGTATCCATATGAACAAAAGCTTTGCTTTTTTAAATATCCTCAGACACAAAGAACTGAGATGCATCAGGAGAGACAACGCCATGCTGCTTTCACACCATGGTCCCAACATACACCTGACCTGAAAGGTACTAAGTAAAGTCGGGGATATTTTTCAGCCAGCCTAAAAGGCTACAGCAGGAGAAAAAATATTTGAAGAACAAAGGGGGCTTTATGACTTTTATAGCAGAGAGGGATCAAAGACAGTCCATCAAAACTGAGACTGTGGCTCAATGAAAGCAGACATTTTGTAAAATGCTGATCAGCTCTAAACAATGTCCTGAATGTGAAATGAAGCCTTTGTGGTTCATGATGTCTGACCTAAAACCAAAAGGAAATCATTATTATTGCAGAAAGCTTTTTTAATCATTGCAACATTTCCAGACAAGTAATCACCTCATAGTCAGTTTTTATATTTAATTTTACTTCAAGATATAATGTGTTATCCATCTGTAGAAGCAATTTTAATCAGAACAATTATTTAATCCCCCCCTCACACCATTTAGTGTTCAGAACACAGCTCATACCACAGTAACTGTCCTCATATCCATGAAACAAGAAAAGACAAGAATCGACTTTATATAGTAATGCAAGTTTGAAATAATGAATTAATTTAAAGTTGGTCGATCGATTGACTAATGATTATGAAGAGAATATTTCCATGACATGAAAAGCTTTTTTTTTTTTTACAATATGACCTAAAAATACTACAATGCATTTTAAAAATGTATTGTGCCAGCTGTATTAAATACTGACTAAATAAATAGAAATATGTTCCCTTACATATTATTAAACATTTGAAAGAAAGAAAAACAAACAGGAACCTATTAGGTTACCGAATAAAACATGTGTAACACTTATTTCCAATGTACATTAATGTAAAACTATCATTAAAAATGGGGCTTTGTTGCTTTGATACAATGTCAGACTTTTAGCTCTTTTACTGAGGCAGAGGCTAACTGTGATATAGCTCTCTGTTTTTAGTTCAATGTAGCAATCAGTGCTGTGAGAGACTGATGATGTCACAAGGTTTTCGCGTAATGCCCTCCATTTTCAATCATTTAGTCCTCTCCTTCAAAGCACAGCAGAGAAGCTACACTGCGCTGTCGGGCAGAACTTTATCTAATGTTTATAATGACAAACAGAACCACAAAGTTCTTTCTGCATCCTTCAAATCCCTTTCTTGTGATATACTTTGGGTTGCAGTTGTAACTTTATCATAAAGGATTCTCTCCAGGAGAAATTGGGGCCTCAAAAGGAAGATGGATGTAAAATCTCAGTTTGAATATATGGCAGAAAAAAAAAACAGAGCTGAAAGGACAGACTGTAGTAAACCATCCAGCATAAAAACTATATAATATGGAGCTCAACCAGCTGAAGAGACAATATGAACCAAGGTATTAAAACTAGCTAAAAATCACTTTTAATCAATAACTTACTGTGAAAAATCTGGATTTTATGTTTTTAACAGAGACATGGCTAAATGAAAAGAATGAGATGCTGATTTTATTAGAGACCATACCTCCTAATTCATCTGAACAGACTGTTTAAAAAGGCATTGGGACTTTTTACTCTGTTTGATTCGTTAAGTTGTAGAAAAGTCATCCTGGGGGACTGAATGATTTAAATATCTGGCTATCCAAATACAGGGCCCTGTTCTAGCCATGTTTCTGAATGTTTATCTACGATGTGTGTTGAAAATGACGACTTAATTAATGCAGGGGAATCTAATATTCATATTGACAACCCTGTAGACAGAGTAGCAAAAGAAATGTGTGACCTGCTTCAAATTGTTGGTTTGACTAAACATGTTAAACAGACAATCAGGGATGTATGTTGGACTTGCTCATCTGTAAAGGTCTAAATATTTGTAATGTCTCTGTGATGTTGCAAATACCATAAAGGCTGTGCTTAGGACAGTGAAAGAAACTTATTTTAAGCAGAAATTATCAATTGTTGGATCTAACATATCTTAATCCAGTAAACCATTAATTAACAATCGTAAGTCCATTTTTTTTTTTTTTTTACACATCGATCTGTTTGTTGGAGAAAAAGAATGACAAATACTTTTGAAGGACAAAACATATTTCACCAAAAAGGTCACTTTAAAATAATGCATCCAGTTTAATTAGACGGGTGTATAATGTAGTCGTTCTCCAACTCACCTCGGCATTGTTGTAGTAGGCAGTGCTATTCTTTTCCTGGACATCTTCTCCTCTGGCTGTGAAGAAGGTCAGCGGGTAGAAATCCTTATGGCATGGCTGCTTTCCACTCGCAATTAGCTTCCCGTCATAAAACAACTCTGATGTGTAACTTTTGGAAAAGGAAAGGTGGAAGAAACAGAAAATGAATATTCCTGATCAAAACTGAATGAAACCATTCTCACCAAGATGCTTGCAAGGGCTTTGATTAAAACCGGATATTTCTAGTTAAAATGGTTTTATTGTAACAGACGGGAAACGATGTTGCTTCAGTCAAGTTAAGAACAGCACATGAAAATATGTTAAAATGTGTGGGTTGGGCTTTGATTAAAACCTGTTGGAAAATCAGGAATATGAAAGTGGCTTGGTTTCTTCACGCAGCCATGTTGTGCAACGAGGAACACGCACAATAACGCACTCTCCACAAAGCACAATTTAACCTTCCTCCTGGATTGACATCAATCTTAAAATGGTGCTAAATTAAGCTTATCTGGCCAACACCTTTAACCATCTCTGTTATACCAAAAAGGTCGATTCCACCAATCAGACTCACCTTCAGTCTGTAAGTGTAGCTGTTTCTGCAACTTGTTACCCGCTGTTTAGGAGATAACTGCTTTTGTTGCTAATGCTACAGCTACATGAACGTGCATACATACAACTCAATTGGTTGTGCTTACTCTCACAAGAAAAAGAGGAGGTATGAAATAGGGTTACAAATAGCTTTGAGTGAGAAATCTTAAAACAAAATATGCTGTTTTGTTTGATGAGAATAGGACAACACTCAGTAATTTTAGACTTTCATTTTGTCTTTTTGCAGTTCCTCCCTATAATACTAAAGCCGCCCTTGTGTCTTATTCCCCTAAGAGTGTTTAGTATAAATGACATGCAATCCAAATAGTTTCAGAACTGCTCTCTAATAACATCTAAACTCCTTTATACCATCGGGAGATTCTGCTCTATAATGTGGGCATTTAGAAAAACCTTAACCTCCCACTGCCTCCTTTAATAATGTCTTTCTTAGAACTGATTAGCTGCCAGCAGTGCTCAGTGTTCACACGTACTTGATGATAGCTTCATGGGAGCGGTAGTTCTCACACAGGAGGATGCGGCAGGGGAATTCAGCCGGGTAGTGCTCGTACAGCCGGTCCAGAAGTGACACATGCAGGTTACGCTCACGTGCAAACTCACTGTACACAAACGGACTGAGCTGCAAAAGAACAAACAGAAATAGCAAAGAACATTAATTCGGTTTTAAGAGTACTATAGAACAAAAAAGTGATCGAATGGCATTTTCTTTTTAACATAGGTATTGGAGTCAAATATGAGATTAACAAGAACAAAAAAAGTGTTTCAGTAGAAAGGGAAAATAAAGTAGTTTAGGTTCTTTAGAAAAACTGAAAATTTATTCAGTCTCAACTAACTAGTTCACTTTGTCATAGAATTTTATTTCACTCGGTTTTCTACCAATTTTAAATCTAAATCCAAAACAGATTTTTTTTTTTTTTTTTTTTTTACCTCTCCATATTTCTTCAATGTCTACCTACCGTTAATTACCTACACTATTACCTCTGTTTTCTTCCATGTCATTTCAAAATAAATACAGATTTTGGGTTTGAAAGAGATAACATGAAATCTGCTCGATGTTTTTTTGAAAGCAATAATAATTCTGTTTTGAGTTTAACAGCAGGTCTCCGAATTCCGAATGCTACAGATCCTTTCCGATATAAACGGTCATTTCTTTTCAACATTTAATTACTGTCAATATAAAAGCAACACTGAAAGCTGAATGAAATTTGAGAAGGATTTGAGAAAAGAAAAAAGAAAAAAAGAAGGCCACAGAAAAACTTAAGAAAAGTTAACTGATTTTTAAATATTTCAGTTTAATGTGGGAAAAACAGTCAGAATTCTGACTTTATTCCGTAAAAAAAAAAAAAAAATATCCACTGGACTTGGTTTCCAAGATTTAAAGACGTTTCGCCACCCCTCCAGGAAGCTTTCTCAATTTAAATGTCTGGATCCGCAGTGAGTTTGAGTCTTATATAGACACAGCCTTGTATCGCTTGTAAACAGGCAAATGGTAACCGATGAATGGGTCGTTTGGTTCCATTGTTAGCCTGTAATATCTGAAAGCTGTCTATAGCTACGTTTACATGCGCAAAATTTCCCCGATCCGATCCAAACCTTGGTTGATCGGAAATTCAAAATCTCCGTTTACATGGACACTAAATGAAATGATCCGATCATGACGTGTGTATACATGTACCAAGCGTTGGATCAGATTAAATCTTTTAAGCATGCGCAGAACTTCCTGCCAAACTTGGCAGTTCTGTCTACGTCTGGTTTTTGGGAGGCCTGACAAACGATGCGCTCGGAGCGAGCGGAAAGAAAAAAGGAGAGAGGAGGAAAAAAGCGCTTGGCAGCGAAATGTCGGAGAGAAAATATAGAGAATGAGCGATTGAACCGGCGTGGGAGAGCGAGTGGGCTGTGGAGAGAGAAAAGAGGAGGAGGATAAATTCCTGCTTCCTGCAGCTTTATATTAACTTGAGTGTATAAGTCGGCGTTCCTAGACTCCCCCCGCCATGTTGTTCACAGCGAGAGCGAGAGCGACCGGTGGTTTCCTGTTGTTGACAAGGCGGAAAAACGTCACGCTGACGTCGCACACATGCGCAATGAAGATTATTTTACTCTTCAGATCCGAATTGGTGTTTACATGGACGCCAATCGGAATGGCGATCGGCAAAAACCACCTCTCTCATTCGGAATTAAATTTAGATCCGATCGGACCGAATCGGATTAGAATCTTCAGTCTGACATGTTTACATGAAACATTTTTGATCTGATCAGGCCTTCAATCCGATTAGTTGTGTCCATGTAAACGTAGCTTATGATTCTGAGGGTCGGTCGTTAAATGGGGGGGGGGGGGGGGGGGGGGGGGGGTTCACTGTCAGGTTCACTGACAAAGATGTGAGTTGTTTGGGAGGGCCAGTGACACATTGGTGGAAAATGACAGAATTAGGCGACTTTGTACGTGACCGAGGGCTCTCTGGTGATGCTATTTTATTAATGGAAGAGCAGAAGGTGATTAAAACAAGAGAGCTAGTTTAGCCTCTAGACAAGACAATGGCTTGATGCTAATATGTTTTTTGGCTGTCAGAATTAGGAGAAAAAAGTCAGAATTCTGAAATTAAAAGTCAGAATTGTGAGAAAAAGTCAGAATTGTGAGATTAAAGTCAGAATTCTAACTATTTTCTCATATTATACTGAAATACAATTCAAAAATCAGTTAATTTTTTTTATTTCTTCAGTGGCCCTAATCCTCTTCCATACAAATGTCCAAATTGCACCAGTGTTGGTGCATTTCTGACCAACTACTGTTATAAACAAAAAAGACCAATCCCGTTAAAAACAGAAAAAAGGAAAACTTTCTTTTACTAGTTTACTAGCTTAGCAATGCAATTGGAAGACATGTGGATATAAACTAGCACCAGACTGGATATTTAGCTTTCCAGTGAAAGAAAGTGTTTATTTTCTGGTTGGAGCAGCATTAGAGTTGCTATAAATAGTTCATGCCGGCATCTTTATCCCCTTCATACAGATCATACTGTACACTCTGATAATCAAAGCATGAGGGAAATTACGCCTGGAAAGCTTGAATCACAGCAGTTCTGTTATTTGCGTGTGTAATATGAGCGATTAAGGACACCTGATGGCTCAGCTGTGCCCAGCTCTTATTTAAGTATAAAAAATCATAACTCAAATAAAAACATAAAAGCCTTTTGAAGCGAGTAATAATCAATGTTCATTCATCTTATGGTACTGAAACTTCATTAAGACAAACATTTTTCTCCTGATAGACCAAATGTCAGCACAGTGTAATGAATGCTCTGTGGATTCTATTCATGCACTGCTCGGCCTCCTGCTCACCTGCATATGGTCCCCAGCCAGCACGATGCGGGTGGTCTTGCTAGCTAGAGGAAAAGGCATGATGGTTTCACACTCCATGGCCTGAGCTGCTTCATCCAACAGGATATGGGTAAACAACCCTACAAACACAAAGAAACAACAATCAGTTTGTGCTCTATTTACCAAAGAACAAATTGATATAAATATAAATAAGGGGACTAGTTGTGCTAAGCCATAGAGGTAACCTTATTCTAAGTTTATATTAAACAAGTAAATGTCAGAGTAATCCATTATTGATGGGTATAACATACACATTCTTTACTTTTTGAAACCTGAAACAACACAGCATCAGAGGAGGAGGAGATAAAACAGCATGGCAAATGAGCATTGGACCAAAGGAGGGGGGAAGACAGCTGGATGTAAAAAAAAACAGTTAAACAACATTTAAGCTAAACCACTTTCACAGGACAGGGTATGCAGTCATGAAATTTAATGGCTAGAAACCTCATAACACATGTAGGGCTTGTCAGACAAATCCATTATTGGCAAGTATTATGTATAAATTCTTTCCTTGAAAAATAAAAAATAAAAAAAGGAAGGTTATAAATTCACTGCAATGCTTTTCTAAAACATTTTTGACTAATTTTAGCTTACAATTTTGTTCTAATTAAAGACTGCTTTAAAAAAAAAAAATTTAAATAAAATGTTTCTACTCAGGGATATACTACAAATATATTAAAAATAACAACAACAAAAAGAAAAACAAAAAATGTCCAGTAAGGAGCATGTATGTAGAAATGCCTGCTTGGTGGCACAGTGGTAAAAGGCGGGCTGGTTTCTGATCAAAAAACAGCATCAGGAGCTCAAATAACCATTACTGTAATATGGGATAGCAACTTATTAAAAAAAAGTTATGCAGAATTAATTTCTAAATAAACACATTTGTAACCTTGGATAGGCTATAACGGCACAAGACCACCCATCCTGAAAGCACAGATTTATCCTGCCATGTAGCAGTTGACAGTTCAAGCTGTTCATATGAGGGTGTGTGAGAATTTTTTCCTGGTACAGTTTGGATCCCTTAATAATCTGAGCATAATTTCATCACAGAAGTCTAACAGTACAGTTACAATCCTATGCATCCCTTTTTCATTTATTATTTATGGTCAGGGCCGGTCATTTAAATCACTCATCAAACTGGTTTCCAGGATTTCCTTCTTTCATCTCAAAAATATTGCAAAAATGAGAAATATCTTGTCCAGGATTGATGCTTAGAAACTAGCCCATGCATCTGTTACTTTAAGGCTGGATTATTGCAATTCTTTACTATGAGGAAGCCCACAACAGTTCAATTCTCACTTATAAAGCCCTAAATAACCAAGCTCTACCATTATTACAGTTATCATAACCAACACTGTGTGTTTTGATAAAGCCTATAGTTAGAAGTATAGAATGGCTCAGGTTATCCAGAGCTATCTCTTTAGTTATGCTGCTATAGGCTTAGACTGCTGGAGAACATAGGGACCACTTTTCATCATTCTATCTCTATTCTCCAAGCAGAATTTGTTCCAACTTTTTGTTCTCTTCACTTTTTCAGTACATAGTCCTGTTTCTCTCCTATACATAGCTACAGACTCAGCTTTTACTGGGACTGTGCTCTTTTTCCTCCCATATTGATCAGTGCTTCTATGTTCCTCTTGTATGCCTGCTTCTTTCTTCTCAAAACGCCAGTTAGAAGGCCCCCTACACTTTCTTTCTGTTAAAATTGAGTTATTTCTCTCCACTGTCACTGCATGTATGCTCAGTGTGAGAGATTACTGAAAAGTCAACACAATGCAAGCAAATGTCTACTGTACAGATGCTCATCCAGGAGGAGTGAATCCTGCAAATTGCATTGAGATGAAGCATGTTGTAAATGGATAAACTGAATATAACTGAACTTATGGCGGCAGTAATCCCATCTACGGTTGGATACTTTCAGCCTTACAAAAATAGCACAAACCATCTCAATCTGGTTTCTTGAAATGACAATATGATCAAGATTCCCACTAAGAATGTAAAACCAACAACTGCTTAGCGACTGTTTTGTAATCCTATGATTTGCAAAATCCAAAGGGGATTTTCCCACACCACAATTATTTTAAGACAGGCCTAAAAATACAACCTAAATGTATACAATTAGTATCTCAATCTTCATATTTTGTGCTCCCTGGGGTCTCTATAATGTTCTACACTCTAATTTAAGAAGTCCTGTAAAACTAAGGTGGGTTTTATAGAGAGCTAGAGAAGGGCTGATCTCAGATTTTAAAAGCTAAACTGGTGCTCAGCAGCATGAAAGGAGGAGATAAAATGGCATCGGAAATGAGTGCTGGAGCAGAGAGTGTGGGGAGAGAAAAAGAGCAGACTGCCTTTAAAGCTAAACCAGTTTCACAAGGATGTGCATGCAGACATGAAATTTGAGAGCTAGAAATATTTTAATACACTTCTGGGTTGTCAGTAAGATAAAGAATCACTACAAATATAAAAAGACATGAGGAGCTATCTGACCACTATTAGTCTTTAATACAACATTTTGGACAAATCGATGCAAAAGCACTTTTAAACAAACTATAAAGTTTCATAAAACAGCTCTTTACCTGGGAAATGCATTTCAGGGTCTGCCACTTAGTCTATCTCAGAAAATATAAACATATGTGTTTCTGCTTAGAAGTGGATCAAAGGAACTGTGATAATCTTTGGAGTCTGCCACACATCTTATAAGTGTTAGATATTATGAGCATCATCTCATAATCATTCTGCTAAAGTTCTCTGTGTGATCTTTAGTTTTCTCGCCATAGAATCAGACTCCTAATGCAGAAAAGTTATACTGTTATTGCTAAGTCCCGACAACGTTTCTAACTCCTGATATAAACTGTATTGAACCAGAACCCCCACAGTATCATGCCTACGTTTCACCTCAATACACAGAAACAACAAGCAGCCTAATAAAGCTCACAAATGATGTACAGGAGCCATTAAAGTTGAGAATGTTTCCCCAGGCAAGGAGGCAGAGATTAGCTGGGAGACAGGAAGAGAAAAATATGGTCTTTATGAAAAACACGTTGGCAGAGCGGTAGGGAAGAGAGAACACAGCGCTTCATGTTTCACCTTAGAGATGGCCAACAGCAAATATAGTAGAATGAATTTCAAAGTCTGAGGTCCAAATCACAATTTTATTGCCGTTATATGTTACTGAGCTAATAATAGTGTCTGCATTTTGAGGGGAAATTATACCAAAATGTCTGTGTGGTGGTGGGGAGTTAATAATCAGAGGTGAATCAGAGCTGTGCTCCAAATTAGATGGAAAAAGAACTATCAATAACAAATTGATAGCTGCCTTTAGTTGCAATCTCCCTCCAACAAATTCTCCACTAACTGAACTTTTTTTAATGACAAAGGAGAGATTTAGCTTTGGTGAAGGTCTGAATGATGCCAGACAACTGTAAAATAATTTATGGAAAAGCAGGCAAATCTAAAGATTTGCCTGCTTTTCCATAAATTATTTTACAGGTCTAAAGTCGTATAGCTGTAGTTTGATGTGTTGTGGTTATCCCTTCAGACTTTAATACCCAGCTTAATACCAGATGAGAGAATTACTTTTCTTGATTAGAGTAATGATAACCTTGAATATTTATCCCTGAGCAATAAAACCCCAGAGTGTCACATCTGATAAATATAAACATGAACCAGAGAGGTTATTGTACAAGTTGTAACTGTTAGGAAATGTGTATGGATGTGTCCTGTACCAGGTCTCCTTATAACCAGGATTGTTTACAATCTTTTAGGGCTGCAACTAACGATTATTTTTTTGATTAATAGAATAATCGATTGCAAAGTGTTCTTTAAAGAAGACTTTTTACTAAATTAAAATAAGGTGAAACTTTTTCAATTCAGGAGTTCTGGATAGAGCATATTGACATTTATCTTAAATGCAAACTGTTTATATATTTGTTTTTACATTTTTGGTGTAATTACTGCTCTATGGGTTGCTCTGCCAGCTAAAGGCATGTTCTAGAGTGTCTACCCTCCAGTTAACGATTAATCGATTACTAAATTAGTTGACGATTAATCCGTTTAATTGTTTGTTTATAGCACTGGACTAAACTCCTCATCTGAATAGCACCCATTTAGCTGTGCTGCACTGAGAGGCAGCAGAACTTCCCCACTGGGTTTAGAAAGCAAGGATGTGAAGATAGAAAAGTGGAGAGACTTTTGTAAAACATTTAAAAAAATATGGAAGAAAAAAAAAACTGGCAACAAGCATGGTTGTTTGGGAAAGCTTCATGAGTTGATGCACTTCATGGAGCCAAATTTATGTAACACAATATATATAGTTTGTATTTAAGAAGCAACAAATATTTAGCCTTTCCTGCTATGAAAACATTCACTTGATACAAGAGAAAATGGCTGATTATAAACTAATCCTTCGTATATTGATAATTTCTTTCAGCTTAATAATAATAATCTGTTAATCGATAACTTGCATCCTTAGTGCTGATAAGGACTGGATTAAGACTAAACTAAACTTCAACATAGTCAAAGAGTAGTAAAGAAATACAGGAGTTATATATTAAGTGCAATAAGAATACTAAACTAATAAGGACAGAGAGCACAGATAATGTTCTGTTACAAATATGTTTGCTCAAAGAAGCAGACAGAAGTGCGATGTTAAAAAAAATGGGCAAATGAAACCTTTTAAAAAGCTATAAAAACAAAACTTGGATGGAAAATTTATTGCTGAGCATTTAGTAAAATCCTTTAAAAAAAAACATTTCTTATGTAACAATTAAAGTCTAAAAATCAACATAACTGAGAAAATAATGGTGTCAGTTACCTTTCCCACATCATGTCATATGTGAGAGCTGTATCATATATGCAGATTTATTTGGTATATACCTCAATAAGAAATAGGAGGAGACATGAAACAAAGACAGGCTTTCAGGAGTAACAAAAAATTACAGCTCATTTGAAATAAACTGCCAAATGGTGTCAAACTGTTTTAAAGCTGAATAAATTAACTAAACCTCAGTTCTTAAGGCTGGGATTTCTGTGCTTGTTTAGATAATCAAAACAAACTGATTGGAGCATCCATGATAGTTAAAGAAGTCTATAAATTATGGATACTATATGGTAAACTTATTGACTTTTATTTGGATCTAAATGATGCTCCATGGGCAAAAATGTTAAGAAGACTTGAACATTGCATAACATGTTCAAAAGATTGTTATAGAGAGAACTTAAATTATTTAAAAGGAAAAGCAGGCAGATTCTCCATGGTGAAAAATCACTGCACAGTGGAATATGTACATGAGGTAAATATTTGGAATTAAATCTCAATCCCTTCATAACATGTTGGATCTTGGAGAATCCTGTGGGAGAGGATTTAAGTCGGTTATGTAAATAAAGATCTGAGGACTCTGCTTGCTAGTTTAGGGCTAAAGTAGCTACCAGAATCTCAATTAAAAAACTAAATTGAAAAATTTTGGAAATTTTAAACCTGTTAGCGACAAGGCAAATTTACCAGGAGAAAATTAACTGATTAATAATTTAAATCAAACATGTCCAATAGATTTTTTATAGAATTTAAACAAGGTGAAGCTCAAATCATAAGTCAATTAGGTTGATTTATATAACACCAATTCACGACACATGCAACTATAGTTATAGTGTTGTAGATATATAAACATATATAAACCTCAAACAGACATCCCCACAATTAGCCTTGCCCCTCACTTGGCACTGACCACTTTGATGGTTTTTAAAGATCAAGTTGAACTTTAGATGAAACAGAATAATTACTCTGGACTTCTATGACATAAAAAAAAGGTTTAAGCATTTTTTTTGGATGGTTAAATGTAACCAAATAGATTTTTAGTTCAGCAAACTAAGAAAGCCTAAAAATAACTAATTATTTGCAAGTTGACTTCTTATAATCCAGGAAAAAAAAATTTTCTATAGTTTTGCTTCAACAGGTAAGAAAATATAATTTTTCTGTTCTTTTAAAGTGGTACAAGGGAATACAGGATATTGTGAAGTAACATTTATGAAAATAACGGTTATTATCAGCTTTTGGCTAAAAGACACAAAACTTAGGGTCGAACTTCACCAAGCAATCAGTCTTTATCTGTTTCTGTTTGAGCAAATATTGATCTTCCAATCCTAGCAAATGAGAACTCCACTTTAGGCTCAAACCAGAAATTAAGCTGTTTAAGCTGAACAGAGCATAAACAGAGTTCTGGTGTTTGTTCATTATCGTGCTTTTATTTGACTGGGGATGCAGAGACAAAGATGGAACATGCAATAAAAATTGCGGATTGAAATTGGAGCTGCATATCATATTGAAAAGCAATTATGCAAAACAAAATTTGGCCTGAACTGAATCGGAAAATACTGCTTTAGTTTAACATGTAGTGGGAGGTTGTATGGCAAATAAAATACATGGTAATGATGTACCTGGCCTGTTCAAATGGACCATATGCATTAAATATGAGGTATATTCTAGAGGCCAGGAATCTAAAACCTAGGATGATGGATAAAATCAAACAAAATAAAAGTAAGTGAATCACACTTGAAGCTATGTTCCCAATATTCAAAAATGGTATACCATTTGCGTGTTTACTTAAGCGAGGTCCAAATTTCAAAAACTTAAATGTTGTTTAAAATGCATGTATTTCATATAGTAGATAGAATTCATATTATATAAAACTGCAATAATCTTAGCATACATTATCCTCTAAGCCATGAAGATAAGAAAGAAGAAAAAGGAGAAGTCTATTTGCATTAGAAGATCTGTTATTGTTACTTAGAAGACCTGCTGTCCCTTTACTGCCTCGTTTCCTGTTGATTTTCATCACCATCAAACGCCAGTAGAGCAGGAGAGAAGCAACATGGGGAGGAGGGCTAATGATGTGCAATACATTAGAAACAAGCAGATGGTGTACCCAAGCAAGAGAAGAAGCCCCCTTCCTCGACACATTAGTGCCAGTTATTAGCCTGTGCCGACAAATCGGTTTGTTTTCCATGAATTTGGCTCAACTTAAATGAATTTCAACCCCAATCTTAACAGAGCTCTCCTCCCATAGCTGACTGCCAGAGTGACAATAATAGGCAATAATAAAGGACTAGTGAATAAAAGATGAATATGTAAAAAGACATATTGACAAAATCTACTAGTCCATATGTAGCGAACAATATGTACATGAAAATATGATGACCTTTAATGCAGCGTAGAAAACACAACACAAGATCTAAACCTGAAGAATATCTGAACCCTACTGCTGTGGGTTTCTTTCAGGTTGTTTTCAGCTCCCCTGGTCGACCTAACTATACCAGATGATTTTGTCTTTTTGGAGGCTGATGGACTTTTGCATTGTGGTCGGAAAATTTAATTTCTCTTATTTCATATTTTAATTTATGCTATTTACTCACAATAAAAGTTTTCACTCAGTCCGTTTCACCTGCAAAGCCACACAATTCTCCAACATGAGGATGTTTGTAGATCAAACATAGCTTCTTCCCAGAACAAGCCATATTCTTTCTCAGGGTTTATTCATAACATGTTACTGTTAACCCAAGTGTCTGTAATTTGTTTTGACTCTGACTACTTTCCATTGTTGCAAGTAAGGGGGAACGACTGTGCCCAGGCAGAACGGGGCTGAATACTGTGCCATAAGGGCTGTATGATGAACTGTTATCTCTTTACAAAGATGAAAATAAAGTGCCGACTGTGTGAAATCCATCAGTCTCCATTTATTTAACTAGGGGGAATAGTTGAATACTTTTTTCCCCACTAGAGCATTAAACAAACAACTGAACCTTTATCAAAAGGGTACCCACCAGGCTCCAAATCCAGCTGGCAGAGGTACTGGGAAGTGCTGAGTGTGACCACAACAACACGGTGCCTGAGGATGTCCTCCCTTGTGGGCATCTGGAAAGTGACCTGTGTGCTGGAGATGAGACAGTACTGCTGGACCACGGGGTGGACGGTCTTCACCCAGCGGTTCCTGAAGTATACCCTGGGAGGACGAAAGAAGGCGGAAAGATGAAGCTAAATAGCTGAGTCAACAACTCAAGAGATACAATGAATAAAAACATAACTTTTATTATTTTATATTGGATGTTTTGTTTTGCTTGCGGTACAGAGTTCACAGTTACAAACACTGTAGGATTGGTTTCTGGGAGGTCAATATTAAGCAAATTCTTAACTTAAACTTTAATAGAATCAATAAAAATACTTTATCAAGCAAATAAACACTATATCTTGATAAAGTTCAGGCATTTGTAGGTTTCTCTTAAAAGTCCCTGGTGTTGGGTTTTTTTTTTTTTTTTTTTTTTTTGTTTGTTTTTACCAGTCAACAATGGAGGGTAAGAAATGGTGTGGTGTTGTTGCCTTAGGTTGGTTCACAAAACAGAAGACATCTTGTGTTTACATCCCAAAGGTCAGTAAATATCTACTAGTCTCTGCTTTGGGCTGAAAATAAAACAGGTATCTAACAGAGTTAGCCACACTGTTGCATCACTTTGACTTTGGGCTTTTCAATAAATATAATTTAGATCAAATAGATTGATGAAGTGCCACACTGATCAACTGTGGCAATAAAAGTCTGGTACAGAGGCCACAGTGGAAATAACTTCAGTGGGTGTTGACATCAAATAGAAAAGATTAAAGACTCCTTTTCCACCCTGGACCTGATCTAAAATGTGTTCTTTTAAAGCTTATTAAAGTTTACAGCAACTTTGAATGACAAGTCAATAGAACTAAAGTCGGATCTTTTTCCAGACAATCAAACCCCAATATAGTCGTGCTGCATCCATTACGTGTTTAAAATGCAGTCAGCTGCTCTTCCAATTACATTAGCAACACTAAACACTGACATAACGAAACAATAATTGTTCAAATTTTAACTCTATATCCATTTGTCTTTGTTTTAAACTACTAGTAACACCATGCTTCACAATAATGTAAAAATTATGTCTCCGCTCACATCGGAAGGGAAAGAAAACGTGTTTTATGAACGATTCTTTTAAGTCCTAAGAAATCAGACGATTTTCATGTGATCATGTGATTATGCTGTTGTGGTGTACACATGATTTTAAAAAATATGATTGCTTCTGTCACAGTATAATATTCCTTCCTAGTAAATTTAATGAGAAGACCCACACAACACAGTAAATATGGCCAACGTAACTACTTATCAGGGGCAGCTAAATACAGATATTCAACTGTGCAGTCTTAAAAAAACAGTTGCATTATTGCGAGCTAATAATCCATGCATACCCTTTCGCATGCTAATAAAAAAAAACAAAGAGTAATGTGATAAGCAAGCATGTCACATTACCTGAGAGGTCTGGCGTGATCATTGCCTGCTTCGACATAAGGATGAAGATAGTCTTTAATGTAAAGGTCAGCAGCGCTGTTGGAGTGAGTGCAGATCAGGACCCTGTAGATATAAGAGACAAACGGTTATCTATTGTGTAGCACAGTTTATGGGTCAAGATATGTGTAAAAGAGACACTGTAGCAAAAAAAGAAAAAAGTATGTTGATGTAATTATGAAATTAAATTTAAGCAGGCAGAAAAACAAAACAATAAAAAAACAAACAACATAATTCTTTCATTTCTGATCTTCAACCTCAGAAACATCACAAATCTAAAAACAAAAACAACTCTGACTTTAGGATAACTTGCCGGGTCAAAAATCTATCACTGCGTCTGCAAATTCAGGTAATAGAAAAGTCAGACGTATTGCTTCTAAAAACAGTTCCTCAGTGTCCAAGATGATGAAATATCGACCATCAGTACTTAAGGGGTAAAGAAGGCAAAACAACACATCGGAAATCTAACCTAAAATATTTCCAAATAGAATACATCTAAAGAAAATTTATTTTGATGAGAGACTCTGCAAAACCAGTCTGCAGTTATACAAACATGGCTAAATAGTAGAAATGGGCATTTAATTCAACATGTACCATCATCGTAATAGTCTTTATTGACATAAGTATTTATCATGAAGTTAATCCTTTCTCTATTTCAATACAGAAATTAACATCAAAGTCTTTAAAAGCAAGATGGATGATAAAAAAAATAAGATGAAATGCAGTTATTGTGCTGTATTTACGGATAAAACTGCACTAATTATATTAATGGGATCTAAAAGCAGCTTATCTTATACTATCTTATGTCATTCCTTGTTCCTTTTTTCTGGGAATTGACTGCAACATCATTCAGACCCACCAACGATCTGGGGCCAAGAATACTTCAGGGGATATAGCAATAAATGTCACATTCCCACATTTAAAGGTATAGAGGACAATCTTTTATTTCCGGGTGGATCATCTAAATAAGTGGTCCTCCTATTTGTCAATCATCCTGGTGATATGTTTATGTAAGGCCATCCTACGTGCTCGTCCAGTTAGCTATCTTTTTCTGAGCATGCGCACTTTCAGGCATATATCTGTGGTGAGCTACGGGTTCAGCCAGTCATTGAAGCTCACCTTTCTCAATGCGGTTCTTAAAAAATGACCACGGGTTGTAAGAGAAAAGGTGTTTATAGGCCTCAGAAGAGGCAGAAATATCCCATAATGCTTTGCGCGAAGAGCTCTCCTCACAAAGCATTATGGGATTTGCCGTAACAGCAGCCCGCTGTCGCTACCAGACAGCGGTGACTAATAACAGAGATGGCGCAGGCACCACACGGTGGACGAGGAGTTATGTGACCAACGGGGAGCAAAAAGCAGTGACCATCTGTCTGAACGGGTCGTTAGCAGAGTTCTCTATAAAGTCCACTATATAGTCCCCGCTCTACATAATGATTGAGGGATTTGGGGTTTAGGGTGGACATGCGGACACAGTAAGCTTGTATGAGCTATGAGAACAGTAACTTTAAAACAGAGCGTGCACAACGAGAAATGGGCTCGTGCACGCTCTCGTATGTGCATCAAGTGGAGAGGGTGGGTCTTTTAAAAAATTCCGAGAAAATCCTCCACAATACCTTTAAAAGTAGAGTTGCGTTTTTGATTCTTCTATTTGAATACAGAAATGAACATTAAAGTCTTCAAAAATAAGATGATTGATAAAAATAATACAATAAATGCAGTTATTGTGCTCTAATCAGGGATAAAACTGGACTAATTATTTTAATGGGATCTGAAAGGAACTTATTTTATATTATGTTTATCTGGGATTTGACTACAGCATCACACAGACACACCAACGACCTGTAGCCAAGAATACTTCAGTGGATACAGTGAGTCTACATACTAAAGGAAAATAAAAATATCTGCTGGTTACAGAACTGTCAGCTTTAGATAAACATGCTGCTGCTTTTCAGGATAGTTTTAAAACTTATCTTTCATATTTCCTAAATGAGACTGCAGCGATCATCAGAATCGAATATAAAAAAAAAATATAGAAAACACTGTAATAAGATAGCTGGTGAATCGGTGTATCCTGGTTCTCTACAGAGAATTTCAGGTTCAAGTCATGCAATGCTTCCAGCTCCATGATCATGCAATCCTACAGCTCAGCATATATCAACCAGATGTCCCAGTTAGTGTGGGACAGTCCTGCATTTTTTTTTACTTCTGTTCCACCATGTCTAGGTCAAGTAAAACAAAATAAAATTATAATTGAAAAATATTCACAGGCGCTTTTTCTACATGGGAAGAAAGCAGAGATGTACCAGTGTCCCACATCATGCCCAATCTGCACATGACACTCTTAAAGACTACAGAACAGCTTATAACTGGGCGAGGCAGTCAAAGGTGACTCTTTGATTGCCTTTTGTGGTTTTTTATTTGATAAGAGGGGTTGAGTGATGTAAAGCAACACGGTAAAAGTGAGTTACAAAAAAACCTACAGCTGAAAAAGCAGCATCTGTCCCTCATAAGCATTTTAATTGTTCCACATTGGTTTCTAAGGATGAAATAATCAGCATCAGTCTTTAAACAATCTGTAACGGTCGATTAGTAACACCTACATATAAATGTAATTGTATGGGAAAAATTATGAATCGGAAATTTCTATTATTTTGTACTTTGTCTTAGTAGCTGCTGTAGGTCAGTTAATCTTTTAGCAAATGGTATCTTTTAAAGTGTGTGTACCATTACTGTGGGTAACAATGAGATAACCAAGTAAGTTGGCAATCATTTCTTAATCCTGATTAATCCAGATAATTGGATTCAGCCCTGGTATAAAGACAAGTTGGGAATAATAGAAGCCAGTGTATTTCATTCGGGGCCATAAACACCATATTCACCTTCCTGTAGACGTTTCAAACTTCACTGAAGCCTCAGAAGCAGCAGAGTCAGAATAATGCACTAATGGTGCCTAAAGACAGCACTGTCATTTACAGTACATCAATATTAAACGGTACGGACAGCTCTATAAGGAGGCATCTTAACACAGTGACATACATCAAGTACGCCAAGAGGAGCATTTTACACACCATATGGTGGGGGAGGGGTAGACCTCGCCTCTTGTAGTAAGAGAAGTCACATTCTCTTGTCTTTGCTTTTAAAACATCCATAATTCATCACAGACCTGCATTCAGAGTGAAATCCCTAATAAATATTGAAGAACTACCCTTTCCGTTGCCATTTTCTTGCATCCAAACACACACTTCCTGTTATCTTATTAAAAAACAAAATGTAAGCCTTTGTAAGGGGGCGACTGTCCAAGATATTGCATTCATTTTTCATAAAGACTGGGGAACCATTTACCTGACGGCGCTACATCGGTTTCTTTCCAACTCAAGTAACCGTAGAATTTCCTGTGGGTAGCTGCACATGGAGCAGCGGCTCCATAATGAAGAAAAATGTCAGCAGAGAAACTTGTGCAATGTTATATTGTTGTATGTCACCGTGGGGCCTGTAGAAGTGACAAAACCTGACTGACTAGCTCACAACGCACATCGACTTCCATTCAGGGCCAGCAAGTAAACTGCAAACAAGCTAACCATGTGCACAAATGATGCAGATTTATCCAAATGGTCTGTGTGCCTTCCCTTTAAGTGACAGAATATCTGACGCTACTAAACAAAGCCAATCATTCAGCACTAAGATGCATCCGGTTTAGTGAGCAACGCTCCCGCCACATCTCATTTATCAACTGACCCTCTTCACGTCCCAAGTTCCAGATAACTTCTTAGCCGACTGTAAAGCACAAATGGATAAAAAAAAAAACTTTCCAAAAATCATATTATAGAGTCTTTGAAATATCAAACATACTTTTTTTCTTTTCATCTGTTAAAGATAGCCTCAAGTCTTTCCAGGTATGGGATGAAGCCTACCTGCTTTGCCCATGTAGAGACAGAGATTTTTTTCCTAGTTATAAAATAGCTCATTCCTTGGTCAGACTGAATAAGTTGGAACTCAAACTACTGAAACATCTCCTGGATTCATTATTGGATTTAAGTCTGGGCCTTTTTAGCATCTGAAAATGCTTGGATCTAACAATGAAAACAACAATGTTAGAAAATTCAAACTTATGGTCTTGCTGGGGAGTGACCTACACAAATGTGAGGCTTTCCACCAGGATTGCCATGTACAAAGTTCCAACCTAAAGGAAAAAGAAATTCAGCATGATGTTGCCACCACGGTGTTTAAACTAATAGTTGCTTCTGCAGATTTTCCTAATTGAGCTGTGTGAGTCTGCAGCTTGAACGTTTCTTGACAAAATATCTTTTAAATGACAAACTGATCAGTGCTTTAGTGGGATTTGTTCATTAATGAAAAACCCAAATTTGAAGGTGAATTTTTCACACTGGTCAAAAGTTGAATGAATCACATCAATGAAAACAATTTAAAACAGAAGACACAACACATGAACGTACCTGCTGTTGTCCTGGCGAAGAATGTGTTTGACAGCCTGTGCCAGGGTGAAGGTCTTGCCAGTACCATAAGGCCCAATGATGAGGATTGGAGGAAGAGAGACGGAGATGGGTGTGGTGATGGCCAGGATGGCCTCTTTCTGCTTGGCATTCAGACGGGGGTCCAGCTGCTCATCCCACTGCCTGAAAAGAGACATTTTTTTTAGAAAAATAGAAAAACTACTTTAACCTTTTGTCTAAAATTGTTGACCAACATTCCAACACCTTAGGATAAAGAGTATTTTTTATGTGTAAGACACTTTATTTACTTGTGTCAGGACACTCACATATAACAGCGAATACATCTTCAAACTAAATCAAGTACCTATAAGAGGATGATGGAAAAGCATCAATGAACCATGGACTAGACATAAGTACACTAAAAGTACATTTTAGGGAGGAAAAGGACACAGACTCATCTAACAAAATGTATTGTTGTTTCTGCACTTGTACATTTTCAGGAATTAAAGCAAAAAAAAAAAGTCCAAAGCCTGAATTGCATGAATGATTAAAGACTAAATGTCTAAGACTAAATAAAATCCAATACAAAAAATGGCCAAAAGATGGCAAAGATTCATCTATATCTAGAGTGAATGATAGGTTGTGTTCGGCAAGGAAAGCACATTTTTAACTCTCATACAGGGTCAGTTCTTGCCGCTGGTATATCAGCTGTTGCCGTAGCTCCCAGCAAACATGTAGTGTGCATGGCTGCACTAACAGCAGCTTGATGACCAGGGTCTGATTCATGTTTCCTTAGCACCTTTTTGCCGCTGGATGCGTAAATAAGCTTCCTGGAGCACAGCGTGCCGCGGTTCATGAACTGCATTGTGCCCACTCCATGCATTTCCATTCTCTTTATCGTCCTTCTCTCCAAACACAAAGTTTAATTTATGAATTTTTTTACTTTAACACGTTTTTTTACTTTAACACGTCTCTGAATCTGACTGGAGCCATAAACGGCGCAACGTGACTTTCCATGTAGAACTTACGTGTAGCACTGTACCACAATCTATCTGGCGACTTGAGCAAGAAACGAGAGGAGGAAGTACACGCTTTCCTAAGACCCGCCTCCTTCTTCTGATTGGCTAATACGGTTAGTTTCAGAGCGCTCCTTTGCCATCATTGGCTGACTATCGCAAAAGGGGTTTTGATAGCCTTTTTTTTTTTTCTATTTACCGTCAATTTATTTGAGTGATTTTTTTTACCCTCAGGCAATTGCTACGAGCCGGAATACTTTAATCCCTGCATTCTTGGTAGTAACATCAAGTTGGAAATAATGCAGCTTTTAATACTCCACCAAGACAACTTTCAGATCTATGCATAAAGGCTTAAATACTCCCCGCTGATTGGCTGCTAATAAATCTGCAATCGAGATTATTTGCATATCAAACAAATAGCAGCAGGAGAAAAAGCCCCTGAAGAAAACCGGCACAAATGAACAGATAAACAGAAGTGTGTCTGTGTGTCTAAAACAGCTATGAATGTGATCGCAGACGTACTTGTGGGTGATTTAGTCACCGTGGATGTAGAGTGTGTGCGTCCGTCTCTACACATTAGTATCCTCATTATAAAGGCCGCGTCCTCTGAAGCTGTGAATCCACCAACATCAATTGATTGAACTCCAACAGAGACATAAACGAGGGTCTCTCCGTCTCAACGGCTTTATGAGAGTTAAAAGGTATAAATTATACCTTGTTTTAACTCCAAACATTAAACCTCATGTTTGGAGGCGGAAAAAAAAAAGCCTAACCAAATAACTTTTACTTATTATGGTTTCAATCCAAAACAAACCATCCCATAATCACACAACTTAAGAAAAATAACTTTTTTAAATAAACGAAGGGATTTAAAGTTTTGAGGGGACAAAAACCCCTGGTAGCTTTAGAAAAAATTTTCATTACAACCATGAAGTTTGTTTCTAAAACTAATACAACAGAAAATAAGTTTTGATTAAAATAATACAGTTTTCATATACATTTTATATAGAAATATGTCAAATTCTTTGAAGCCCTTAACAGAACCAATGAAAAAAAATCTATTGGCATTACTGTTTATGTTACTACTGTTATTGGTTTAAATGGCGAGATTGTCAGACAGAACATTGATTTACTAAAACTTAACTAAAACTAAATTCCTTATCATTCACTGATCAGCGAGATCAGTGAGATAACGATTCAGATAAACACACCACAAGCAGAGGATTAGACATTTTAAGGCTTATGCAGCAAAGCATACCTCAGTGTAGTCTAACGAGTCATTAAAGGTTTAATATTAAATCATGATTGTTTAATATACTTCCTCTTCAAAGGGTTACCAGGGCAGATTTATCTAGATGTGTGCTAAAGATTAAAAAAAAAAAGCTATGTGCTTGTATTTAACCCGAGTTCGCTCTTTCTCGCTTTATCCGTATTTCAATTATGGCTTAAATCCCATTTGAGGGTCCTGAAAAAAAGGGGCTGCTGCCAAAAAGAAAACCTCAGTGGGATTATGTTTGACTTTGTCTTGTCAATAAAGATTACTGTGTCTTTTCCCCTGGCCTGTCCAACATCAGGGGAAGAAGAACTGCAGCAGGAAGCTAAAAGCTTGGCCAGCGAGTCAACAAGGTGAGGAAAATTCATTTATCGCTCAAATTGAGGCGACGTCCTTTCAATAAGTAATTTGTAAAACCTAAATGACGGGCTGGTATCAGAAGAGTTACTTTATAAAAAGTATATATTTTTACGACTGGGTTCTTTTATGGTGAAAGTAATAGAGTTTGTTAAGTAAATATTTGTAAACACCTGCTTTGGTCAAATAACATACATGGCAGTATTTTTTAATGCAACCAGCCTTTATCTGTCAGCTGGACTAGAATCTGGAAAACGTTTACACTGCGACGACATCAAACAACCTGCTATGTTTGCAGTTTCCTTTAGTTCATTTTTTCTTTCAATCTTCTGTTTGCCTCGACACAAATCCTTAATCATACGACGATAGATTGAGAAATCTCTAGTGGAGAAAATCAGCCACTTTTTTCTGCTCAACAAACAAAGACACTTAACAGATTTTTTTTTCAGTATTTTGTACTTTTCTAACATAAAGGAATACTTAATGAGCTTTATTCTTACAGAGCAGAGTTTGTTACTGGACAGAAGCAATGGAACGTTAAGCAAACTGAGCTGTGGTGATAAGAGAAAATAGTTAATTGGAATGTTTAGTTAGAAAAAGAAGCATTGGTCTCAGAAAGTGTGTTAATTAACTCCAGCTGGAAAAAGCTTCATCATGGACTCCATTTAGTTGCTTTTTTTTTTATGTTTACGGTCACATTTTTGTCAAGCATTCTGTAGTATAATGCTATAAAGGATAGTAAAGTAGGAAAGCCTGAGATTATAATTCAGTTTTTTCTTTCTTTTGGATGTGAATGAATTTTCAGCTTTATCAGCTGGTTATTAAATCAAAGCCTTCTTGTACTGATCAAGAAATACATCATACCTGTATGCTAACAGTTTAAACTGGCAAAACTCCTTGGAGTGGAAGAGCCAGTCTCTGTTTTTGGAGATTCAGAGAAAGCAGTAGAATTCAAATGAAAACATTTAGCAGGTATATAAAGGACCTGGCTTTTCTCTGAAGGCTTGGATCCAGGTTATTCTTTCTGCTGATTCAAGCAGGGAGAGGACCCTTTAGCAAACGAAGGGGAAGGTAAAATGTAATGGAACTAAGTTTTTGTGAACCGGCATTGCTTTTAGTGTTGCTAACCACTCCTGTCATAATTAAGAATCTTACGCTGGTTAAAAATGCCAATGTGGAATTGTCATCTTGGTTTCACAATTACATTAAAGCCCTCTTTTATAGGAGCTGCCTCCTTTCCACAGTGTGATGGAGCTTTATTTCAGTTTACAAACATGCATGTGTGATTGGACAACTGCTTGATCCGTACCTGTTGGGGCTCCAGGGGATGGTGGGGACAAGGCTGATATCAGGGAAAAGGATGGTGTTGTCTTTGATACGATCCAGCGCGTAGTGCATCTCACACAGAGGCTGTCTGTTAAGCTGAAACTGGAGCTCCACCTGACGCACACACAGGAGAGGCCTTGTTTATTGTCAGTAACTAACAACACACTGATTCTTGGTTACTAACAAAAATATAACCTCTGATCAAAAAAAGCAAGACCAAAAAAAACTAGTTAATTTACATCTATTCAGTACAACGGTGGTGCTGTTGAAGCCGTACCTGTAATTCTCTGTCAGGCAGCAGCATCAGCTCCTCACAGCAGCTTTTGCAAATCCTTAGGAAGATGTAATCCTTGGTCTTCTCCTCAATCACCGCCTCATAGACGCGCTCTTTGACACCAGATGGAGCCTGACCGCCGAACCCTTCACGCCCCAACGGAAGCAGCAGAACTGAATTCACCTTGGTCATCACTAGTCTCCCAGCCAAAGTGTCCTGACATGGGCAAAACATACCATTCAGATAGCAGTAGCTTTCAGGCGATACATCTAAAAATGTACTATACTAGCTATTATTAGGATTAAATAACATATTGAATCACTACTGTCAGTTTGTGGTTCACCTCAGAAAGTGTTTCAGTGAGTTTAAAGCGTGCAAAGAGCTGTCCGTTCTGAGCATACTTGGCTCCAACAGATATGCCGGTTAGCATGAAGCTGGTAACCAGCTGAAGGTTCGCCTTGATGTTGAATCTGACGGACAAACAAGAGCATTAGTTATGAAAGTTTAACTGTTCAGTCTATTTCTATGAAAGGGTAACTACATAAACACTCAGGAAATTAAATAGCAAAGTCCATTTATAAAAGTAGATTCATGTTAGCGTCTTTTGAGATAACAGTAAAAAAAGAAACGGTCAGTTAAGGACGGTTTTTCTCGATCTCTGCAGTATTACAAAAAAAGAAATAGGAAGACATTTTCTCAATTGCTTTGATGGATGATTGACCTTATTATACAAAATTTTATATATATAAAATAAAAACAATACTGTAAAGCGCGGCCGTGAAGCACTGAGGTAATTTACTGCATAAAAAGGTGTTTTTTCACAGCTCCTTTTTGCAGATCAAAATATTTCAGGACTTATTGTAGTATTGTATAGCGAATGAGGAGACTGGTTACTTTGAGCAAAGGTATAAAGATTTTAATAATGAATTCACACCTACAGAACAAAAATAAAACACTTTTCCTCACATTAAACCAATCAACGTTAAACCAATCTGCTTTGTAAGAAGCTGTTTCTCAGAAATTAACACTTCATTTCCAATGCTGCTAATTTCTGTGGATCAAGTCTGACACCTTGTGGTAGTTTAGCATTTCTTCACACTTGGGTCTTAAACCAGTCAATGTTGCACTAAACCTACAGTGGTGTCTGCATGGTAAATGTAATGACAATTAAAAAATAGATTTACATTTAGCAGTGCCAAGATCACTACAAAAACAAAGCAAACAATATACTGTGAGCTTTTAAAAGCATTTGTGAAAGTGACACAAATATAGTTATAACTAATTCTTGTTACTTATAGACATCAGTGAACAAAAGCAGGTAGATCTCCAATTCTCTGGTTGGACAATTTTCAGGAGTGTACAGTACAAATCTGGCCAAGAGAGCAAATACATCTAGAAAATGTCCTTCTGTACCTTTCTACAAGCAAATATATGGAAGTGGATGATAGTATCAGAGGAGATATTTGAAGCTCTATTTGAAGTGGATAAACAAAGCCCTGAACACACCATGGAAAAACTGAGTTTCTCTGTTCCTGCTTTAGAAATGCTCACAGGGGAAGGTAAGATTTCCAGGGGTAAAAGGATGAGAGATGGAGCTGATGGCCCTGTCATTCTAGAGGGACACATTAGAGGCTGAAGATCACTACAACAATAACCCTAATTACACAGGCAGGGCTACAAAGGAGCTCTCTAGATCAAAGTCCCAATTAAAACAGTCTAGATGTAACGGTAAATTGCTCAGAGTTGGCTATTGATGTTTACAGACACTCTTTAATTTGATCAACTTCAAGACATACAAAATAAAGGGGGAGAAGAGAAAGAAAATCTGTGCCTAGAAGCAAATATCCAGTAGAAACTGATCGCAGGTGGCTCTACAAACTGTTAAATACAAATCTAAAGCAGACTTACAGGTTTCATTTATTTGTTTAAGAAAATTTTACACCATGCATCAGCTTCCCCCAACTTTCTTAAACCGTATCCAGTTATGTGGGTCTAATGTGACACGATGTTGTTTTCACCTATCTTTGAACAGTAAATGATCACACAGGAGATTTGACTCCTAAACAGCACAGCTGCTGAATATTTTTCTACTCACTTGCTGACTTCCTTATATTGGGCGATCTCTTCTATGTAGAGCAGGTCATGCAGCCGTGCCTGGTAGTTGTCTTTGGTTAGAGTCTTGTCCATGACCGACTGGGTGAAGAGCTGGTCTGCTGATAGAGGTATCTGGTAACGGGCCAGGAGGCTTCTCTCCAGGTCAGCCATGGTTTCGTTGGGCGTGAATTCAACAATGGTTTTGCAGGAAGAGTCCCACCGCTTTGCGGTCATCAAGAGCTGCTGCCTTGCAGCCATTAGGTGTTCCAAGTCTAGAAACCACAGAAAAACAAGGAAGTGACAACAAATAAGCATGTGAAATAATATTAATTAGAATAGTCGCTTTTCTATTCTATTAATTCTATTTTGATCATACCTTCAATCGAAGCAGCATCCACCATGATCCTCTGCATCAACACCGGCTCAGAGCCAAAGTCAAATACGATGGTCTGTCTGAAGGTACCAAAGATCTCAGTGCTGAAGCCAACTGCAACTTTGTAGACGCAATGATCGAGACCATTGTCGGCTGCTGCTGTCAAAACAGTTTGTGTTTGGTTTTTTGGTTAGTGTATTTAAACTTGCATTCCATTATTAACATTAATATTCAGTCATTAACATAAAATTATATAAAACTAAAGCATAGTAAACTAAATACATACAGTTAATCACATTTGCTAATGAAGAAAAAAAGGTGTTTCAGGTTTATGTCCGTTTAAAACACAAAGATAGTCCGACCAATCGGAAACAACATGCTGACATTTTGCAGCAGCCAGAAAAACTAAGGCCGTTTCTCAATTCATGAGAACGAAAGTATATTTTGACCAGGTACGTTCTTGACAACATCACAGGAAAGTACGGACTCGAGGAGAACGGGAGCATGCAGAATAAATCTGGGTCAACTGGAACAAAATCGTACTCATGATGTTTCAACACGCCCGGCCTGTCTGGAGCTGCATTTTACCTCCTGTTATTAATAGTCTCTAGATAATAATAAATTATTACTTTTTTCATTTAGTGGGGGAATAATTGTTAACACAGTCAGATAAACACAAATCAAACGAACATTTTGTCAAATAAAACAAAAAAAATAAATATATCGCTATTAGAGCCAGCGGTACTTCAAACACGGCTATGCCGATAAAGGGCTGCTGCAGACGGGCTAACTTTAGCCCTGGCTGCTGCCTCGGTCCTCTCAACATCGGAACTTTTTTTTAATTACACATTAAATCAGTAAATACGCCATATTGTGATGCTTAAAAGTATAATGTTCTTGCCTAAAATCATCTTAAAATGTAATTTCAAGAAAAAAAGCAACAAAAAAAGAGAACTTTTAACTCAATTCTTTGAGCTCTGTGAGCGCTCGATTGAAAGCTGCTGCCGCAGTGCATGCTGGGACAGCTGTCAATCTTGAGAACGGACAAATCTGCTCTGATGCATTCTGGGTAAATAGGGAATGTGAATTGGAACAGTACTAGGGCTGAGGCTGACGTTTCAAGAGCACATGAGAATGCAGAAGTAAACATATAGAGAAACAGGCAATATTTCAATTCAATTTTAAAATACCTCACAGAACCCAAAGGAAATCGAATGAAATAAATAATAAATCAGGAAATCCAAATAAACAATAATTAAACAGACATAGGTCTGTAAAACAAAGATATGCTTCTCTGCATTTTAATGCCATCTCTGATTAAAGGACATTATGAATCCAACTTTTTGAACAAAATCGAAAAACTACAAACACATATTGGTTGAAAAGTGCCAGATTAGTAAAATGCATGGATTCCATGTCCTGTTTTGATGAGTTTATTGAATAAAGTGTAAAGAACTGATTTAGAGTCAAGGTGAGAGAAATATGTTCATTTTCAGGGTGATTTTGGAGTAATTCTGAAAATATGGCTGATATGCAAATTCTGAAATGCTGATTTGATGTAGGAGAATTCAGTGAGCTAGAGCAGTAAAATCAATCCTCTGACTGCTCCTACATCCCAACATCTGATCACTGGACAGAGGCATGACAGGTGGAGGCTTAAATTATATCAGGAATTAGATTAAATGGCTAAGTTTGATTTTTATTTTTATTTTATTTATGACACATTTTGAAAAGGATGCAGCAGTTTGGATGAATGCACAACAAAGTGGGTTCTCCAACGTTAACATGTCATGAACCACTACTCCAGAGGGGCAGCCTAAGGCTGAGCAGACTGGCTAATATTTGCTACACAGCGTAAGAGAACAAGCATCTTCGTCATTGCTGTTCTATTTATACATGAGAACAGGTTTAGTGATGCCCGATGACAGTCACACAAATAAACAGCCTGCTGCTTTGACAGCTACAGGACTAATGGCGCTGGACAACTATTGGTCCTTTTTCACACATCATTGGGACCGCATTTGTGTTCTAAACATAAAGTTCCTGTTTTGCTTCAGTGATTCACTTTGCACTTTCCTTGAAATGCTGCTCTGAGATTACCTCTGAAGACATCAAAATTCAGAAAAGGTTTAAGCAACTGATTAATAATTATTACTGCTTGGATCAGGCAGGGCTGAAATGGTGATTCAACTACAGCTATGGACTTGACCTTGTAATATGTGAGGAAAATAGAGGAACTTTGATCTGAGTTAGCATATTTGTATGCATTTACCCCCTTTATGGTCTTTCTTTAAATGACCATTTAATGTCATTCTTATTACATCTAATAATTTAAGATTTAAAAAAAAAGGTCCAAAGATTTAAACTCTCGTAATACAGTAAAACAGAGCACATAACGAATATACCAACCAGCTGATTCCTCTCCTGGTGTCCACTCTTGGCATGCTTTAGGAACCGTCTGGAGGCGGTCCCCAGCTGACACGCCCGTGATGGAAAAGTGGGGTCGATGGGCATCATAGAGCAAGGCAATGCGGAACAGCTTTCTGGCGGGCTAATAAGGAAAGAATGTAGAAAGAACATTATCATATTAATAACAAAGGTGGAACTAACAAAGACCAGAGCTCCACTAAAAAAATAAGTCCAGTTTAAAGAGAAAATGGCCAGATTTCCAGACAGACTGCTGAATGCATCATTTTACCTTGCACAGTAAGGAGAAGATCCAGGAGTGGGAGGACTTCTTAGAGGTGACTGTCATGGAGAGGCTGGAGCTGGTCTCTACAGTCACTCCTTCTAAACTGTCACTTAACTAGAAGGAGAACAAAAGTAAACAGATGAGTGAACACAGAACATTGTCTTTGTAGAAAATATTAAAAGAACAAATTTGAAGCACATCATGGAAATTCCAGAATTCATACTTTACAACTGCCCATAAAGAATTAGCATTATCAGCATTTCATATCGGTGCGTCCAAACCGAAGAGAAAAAAAAAACTCAGATCTGGTGAGACTTTTCAATTTTTTTTTCTAAGATCAACTTAAACTGTGTGATGCCTTTCCACTAATACTTCATAAAAAAAGACGAGGCCATAGAGGTATATCTGTTCACAAACTTTATGTGAAGAGCAATTAAGAGATTTATAATGAGGTTACATTTTTTTAAGTTTTATTTACATGTTTTAATGTAGCTAAAAGGTGTTTAGGATGTTTCATTGTCTATTTTTATCATGATCAGCGATTAGAAAAGAGGCTTTCATGTTGAATACATTTAGTATTTATCAAGGGAAGTTTAAGTCCCTTTATTTCACTTAATTGGTTAATACATTGGTTAACATTATTATAAATAATAATAATAAATGTGATTTATCCGATTTACTTTTCAATCTGAAAATAGAGAATAAATGAGTAAAATGCCAAATTTAAGAGCTTGATACCATCTTTATATCAGCATGTCCACCCATTAAAGGGGAATGCCGTTTTTTTTTTTTTTTTTTTTTTAACATTGTGCCCTTGATTTTTTGTTATCACATCATGTTCTACTCACCGAGTTATGTGTCATTTGGAGCTGTTCTGAAGATATTTGGTTTTGTTATATCCAAGTAACATCTTCCTATGGGCAACGAGTTGATATACACACTCCGCTTTGTTTTAAAAACATATAAATATAAAAATATAACCGCGGATGTCTGGGGGACAGTGATTCGCCTACATGTTGTGAATGCTGGCGTACCATAAAGAATAAATTATAGACAGTTTAGTTTGTGCCTTCAAGTCGTTGCCTATAGGAAGACGTTACCTGGATATAACCTAACGAAATTTCCTCAGAACAGCTCCAAATGACACAAAACTCATATGGGTGAGTAGAACATGATGTAACAACGTAAAATCAAGGGCAAAATGTTCCCTTTTAAGCTGGCAAAACAGTTTATATTTGTAAACGTGTTTAATTCAGGCAGGCATTTCAGTTGTTTCTCACCAGGCTGACTCAGTCTCTGATTCCAGTTTTTTTCCCTCAGTCACAAAGCCACTCACCACTTTCTCCGGAGAAAGGGAGTTCATCCATTTTTCTATCAGAGTTTCCATGTAGTTCTCTGTGAAGTGTTTGCTTTCCTGCTGCTGTTTGAGGCGAATGAGTCGTGAGGCGTAACGTTTCTGCCATTCCATCAGCTCTTCTTGTGAGTGGGCTGACGTACATTGGGCTCCGTACCTACACAGGCCTTGCTCCAGGTACCTATGGGAGGATTAAATGGCTCATTTAGACAGTTTTAGAGACATTCTAACAATATTTTGGCTAATCATTTCACATCCCTCATTTCAAAATAAAGTATCAACATTTCAGTCTCCTCAAATGAAATTAAGGGTGTAGTTGAATATGGAGCAATAATATAGTTGATTATATTTCTCCTTTGATTTCTAGAGAAAACAAGGAATTTTGTTTGTAAATGAGTAAGTAACAGTCTGTGTTGGCATATTAAGTCAAATACGTAGCGAGGAGGGATATTATTGCAGGGATCCAGCAGATGAACCTCCTTATTACAGACATGGCTGCATAGATATCAGAAGAAGGCAGATCCAACTGTGAGGCTGAGCTGAGGAGAGCATTTAGCTGCTGCCACCCATGTCTATGCAACCCATAGCTGTGACTGAAACAGCATGATGACACTGCTCTATACAGTCAAAACATAACTGTTGGGAATTTTCTGGAATCTGTTAATCTTTTCAAAAAGATGAACTATTTAAACCCATCTGGGTGTGCTGGGATTATCCGTGCTCAGCTAATCTCAGTTTCAGTCATAGGTCAGTTCTGTCCAAACAATAACATCAAGAAATTGATGCCAGATTAAAAGGGGCATCTGACTATTTTCAGACTGCAGGGGTCTAAACTTTGAGCCGTTCTTCAGCTAATAGAGGCTAAATGTTGGTTTTAGATTACCTAAATACTTCACAGGTGCCAAATGCCAATAAAAGAGTATAAGCTTTCCAGTTGACCAGATGTGAGTCAACTCTTTTTGGGGAATGCCCTAACGTATTCCCATGCAATTTTAATTGTATTTGTTTTTTTTTCTTTTAAATGTGTCCTAAAAGTCTAGATGTTTCAGAGGGAAACATGAAACTCAGACCCATTAGCTGAGGTATTTGGAGGACGGAGAACATTTAATTCTATTTCCAAAACCAAAAACAAGCCTTGGAAAATAAACAAGTTGAAAAAAGCCTGCTGCTGACAGCATGAGCAGCTCAACACAACAGTTATAAACAGGAGCTACTGGTTGTCCGTCTGTATGATGTCATAATTATATTGCTGGCTTATGTTTAACTTGGAAAAAGCTTGCATTGTTTAATTATAAATGCCTGTGGAAATAAACTATATCAAAGGTAATGTTCTGTATGATGTGGCAAAAAAATTTGCCCGTTGTCTTTGCCTTAATGTTTGCTGATAAAGCAAAGTGCTTCATTAAATGCCTCAGGTATGATTGTGTTTCATTTTATTGCTGTTAAAATTATCCCGAGTTTCATCAGAGTGTTGTTTTCGCTGGCTTGCGTTTGAGTGTAGATGGAGCACTCTTCACTCTAAAGCATTGGTTTCTGCCACATATTCCTCTGAATTTGAACTTCAATCTGACTGAAGATCACTGTCACTGGATGTGTAATCTTGAAGCTTTCATTTTGCTTTAGCCTATTTTAAGCACACTGCGACCATCTATTGCCTGGAAAGTGTGTAATGATCTTATGAACATCTAAATCAGACCATCTGGATATGGTTCAATCAGTATCATTTCATTTTCATAGGACCATTAAAGCAAGTGGTGCTTGTTGGGAAACCATTGGTGAAGCTGAAGCATCGTCTTCCTCCCAAACTTAACCCATTCAGTGCCAACACAAAAACAAGAGGTAATCTTTACTGAAACAAGGTTTTTTTTGGATCATTTCAAAATCATTATACTTGTCTTCCCAAACATGATCACTATCGAGGCTTTTTAGACCTAAAACCACAAAGAATAGAGCAAGTTCTTCATATAAACACACACAATAATTTCAAACAGAAGGTATCGGTGTCGGCCAATACTGCACATCCAGGTATCAGGTATTAAGGCCAAAAAAATGGCATCGGTGCAACACTAATTAAAAGGTCACAGTAAAGAATAAAAAGATAGAATGCTGCTCATTACCTTTTACAGAGGGTGTACTCTTCACTGCTGGTGACCCCTCTGGGAGGAGGCCGGTACAACCAGCCATCCTGGACTTCTGCAAGTACAGAAGTTATGTAAATTATAAACCAGTGGTAAAACCACTTGCAGCGTAATTAGTACAAAATAACTGGGAAGAAAAACGACACAAAATAACTGCCTGGATGAAATGAAAAAGACACTAAATGCCACCTTGTGTACCCAGAAAACATATAATAAACTGTAGTATTAAACAAAAAGGTTGAAGTCGAACTATAATACAGGTCTGCTCACCTTCGTCCTGCTCATCCGTGTATTCAGGAGCCATCTCCCTTTTTGCTGCCTGAATGGGGCAGAAATAGGCAGGAGAGAAGATAAAGAGGCAAACAGATGAGCACAATGATAATGTAACGTGTGTTTCAGTACACAATGGTTTTCATTTCCATCAATAGTTATCTTAAGCTCAACTGAGCTGCACTTCCATGACCCAAAAGCAAAGACAGTTACCTCGATTTCGGAGAAGAGCATCTTTAATCTGGTCAGGTCTCTTGTAACGATGCCGTTCTGGCAAAGGAAGAATAATTTAAAACTGTAAAAAGCATTCTATTTATAAAAAATAAAAAAAATTAATCCATTAATTGTCTATGCTGGCATAATGCAGGGTTGTTACGTTTCAAAACTTCACAGTCTGAAAAGTCCAGATTTTATCATTTGTGGACTTATCAGAATATCTAGTGAAACCAGGGTTTCATTTAATTCTGTTTATTTTGACAAAACCGACCACATTTGTCTACTTGGTGATTAGTTTGCATTTAGTGTAGGGCTGAAATGATTAATCATATTGATGCGTTAATTCGATATTGAAATAATCGTCAACTAATTTAATAATCAAATCGTTAGCTGGAGTGTAGAGACTCTAAAAAGTTGACAGAGCAACCCACCCTTCTGTCAATATTCTCTATCCAGAACTCCCCAAGCGGAAAAGTTTTGGTTTTACCTGGTTTACTTTCATTAAAAAAATCTTCTTTGAGGAACCTTTTGCTATCCGATTATTAATCGATTAATCGAAAAAGTAATCGATCTCTTTGCATCATTAGTTGTAGCCCTAGTTTAGTTTTAATTGAAGCGGTTATCTTGAAATTCCTGTTAAACAGCAATTAAGTGTTGCTTGCCTTAAAAACATTTATCTACATCTGCTTTAATAATCAATAGTTTTAAAGCTACAGTGTGTAACTTTTAGCAACATCTAGCGGTCAGACTGCAGACTGCAGCAACATGAACATCTCCCCCCCACCGCTTCTCCCCCCCAACAGTACGGCGAGCGTTACGGGACAAAATGTCTTCCACGACGTCCGCATCACCTACCTTCTCAAGTGATGAGGTTTGTTTACATAGATAATTTTACAGATAGTATTTCATTAGTCTGTGTAGGGTATAGATTTCATGTAGACTTAAGATAATAAATATACCCGTTATTTTTTCTACATCGTTGTGACATTTTGGCGATCTCGCAATCGCTAGTTTGTTGGCTCTGCGCTGCTGTAGTGCAAAGATGTCTGCCTCCATGGCTGCGAGACCCGCTCCTATTTAATTATAAATAATGAATTCTAAGGCAACGCAAATATTAAGGTTAAGAGGCTGAGCTCGTAGATGCTGATAAAATAACATAGTTATGTATAATATATTACATTTCTGACTGTATATCCCTGTAATTACTACACACTGTAGCTTTAAAGAAAAAATCTTAACTGAATTAATTCAAACATTTCGAGATTCAATAATCAACTTCTGGTATAAAATACTGCCCTCATGTTGGATATTGACAGGGATGTCCTGGTCTGATAACAGACAAAAAACTATCATCAGATCATATCAGCCGACACCCAAAATCTTAGATCCTGCCATGCTGATAAAATCACAATGCTTTTGTCTAAACTTTATGTAATCTGTTAGTTAAAAACCAATCGATCTGATGTTTTCATGTCTATTGTTGTCGACTAATGTTCTCCGTCTGAGAAATGTCACTTGATCAAACCTTGCCGAACTTTCAACACTATAAAATAAGTATTAAAAATAATTATGATTGGTGTTGTTGTATCAATTCAATATCTGCATTGTATCAGAAATTATCAAGTCATATCAGGACATCTCTAGATATTAATGTGAAAAAAGGCTAAAACATCCACTCCCGATAAATGAAAAAACATAGAAGATAAACATAAACAATACCAATTTTGATAAATTTTCACACCATAAAAAAAGAACTGCCACCAAAGAGAATGTTATGTTTAGTTTTATTTCTTCTCAGGCACAAACTGACCACCTTTCTGCAAACATTGTTCTGTTCAGTTTAAGTTAGTTTTAAGAATTGTGATGCTTTTCTCAGTGGATCATGGTTCTCATATACTGTGATTCATCTCACCACTGGCTCTCCATAGAGGGCTTTCGATAGGATGCTGACCACCTCTTGCAGGCTGCCATCCAAAAGCATGGAGCGCAAACTCGCCTGTAGAGAACCATCAACCCGAGCGACCTCATCTGCCAGAACTGCAAAAGAGTTTCAAGTAAGAGTAGAACATGTTAATGACAGTACTTTTTAAACCAGCTCCTAAAGAAAGCAAAGAAAGTAAAAAAAGAAAACAGACATTCCTACAGCACAGTTTCAGAGCGTGCTCGCTTAGCAGATCAAACTGAAGCAAAGAAAACTACATCTAAAACAGAAAAGCAACAAACTTCTGGCATAAAAGTTTAATTGACTCTCTAGTTTGTTTGTGGCAGTAAAACAATAATCTGAGGAAAAAAACACTGAATTTGCAATTAGAACTGCTACCCACCATGTTTGCAGTCTTCATCTGCTCCATCATAGTTTTTCTGTTCATAAATAGAGAAAATAAGTCAGCTAGAGTTAGAAACGGACAACAGTCTTTTATGCTGAAGAAACTGATAGTTTCAATAACTTCAGGTCAAAAGTGAAAGCACTAATTATTTTAGTGCATCATTTTAAATAGCTTCTTTTTAAAAATAAAAAAAAACTTTCTTTTAAGTGATTCCTATATTTCCTGTCAGTAAAAAATAAGTCAAGATGCAAATAAAAGCAAAAGAAAAATGTGGGATTTAAAAGGCATGCCATGTTAGGAGAAATCGTGGCCTTTGTTTTAGATGTGAATGCAGCAAATCTTTAAGAAAGCCAAAGTTTGCTTACCAGCTGTAGGAAGGCAGCAATTCGGTAGAGCAGGGCACGGCTTCGGAGCGGTCCGGCGGCGACCACTGAGAGAGGGCTGGGCAGTACAGAGGCACCGGATGGGGAGGCTTGGGGTGCAAGGACCACCAAGGCATCCGTGCTGTGGGTGACTGCCGCCTCGTACTCCCGCCTGGCTAACGATTTGCTGGCTTCTTCACATGACTTCTCCGCTCTCCTGTCTGCCATGACTTAGGGACAAAACATCTGTAAGCCAAATAACACAAAGAGCATCACTCAACATCCATCCATCTACAAATCAGCATCCAGGTAAAATGTCCCTAAATGCTTGACGTGCCAAACCAACCAATCAGAGAAGCTGATCTAGGAGCAAGCAGGGAGATAGACACAGCACTGCTGCTGCAGAAAACTATGATCACTCCCCTGAAACAGTTTAATAACTTGCCAATTCTCTCATCGCATTTTGTACGTTGGGACCAGAGACGTATTCACGCTGCAATGGAACTGCTCCAGGGTTCGGCCGATACATGCATGCATGCATTCACTGATTAATAAGTGCATTAAGCAGCGATGCCTTGATTTCATTTCTGTTTGTTATATTCTGTTTAATTTGTTAATAAATGTTTTGATTTTGGTTGAAATTATGACTTGTGTAACATTTTTTATTTGTGTAATTCTAAATATGTACTAGAGCGAAGGTCTTCAACATGGGGTCCGCGACCCCTAGGGGGTCCAATGAGGTACTGCAGGGGGGGTCGCGAAAGTTTAGCTTGTTTCAAATTTTCTTTGTATTCCACCCTGCAATTTTTTCCACTAATTGAAATGTCTTTAAATACACATTAACAAGAATTCAACACACTGTAGTTAACAGATAAATGGAGGCAGAAGATGTCTTTCAGTCATCAATGCACACATTCAGTAACATTCAGTAGCTCCCAGCAAACGTGTACTGTGCAAATCCGCACAAACAGCATCCGCCCCCTTTTTCTACTGACTGACTAATACTGTTAGTTTCAGAGCGCCCCTTTGCCACCATTGGCTGACAAACGCAAGGGGGATTTCGATTGTCTTTTGTTTTTATTAATTTTTTTTTGTATTTACCGTCAACTTATTTTCGAGTAATTTTTTTTTTTACCCACGGGCAATCTCTACGAGCCTGAAATCCAGCCTGGGGCTAGAATACTTTAATCCCTGAATATATACACACACACATATATATACACACACACACACATATATATATATATATATATATACACACATATATATATATATATAT